CAAAACAAGCGCTACAACAAGAGTCTCACCTCTTCCAGGGCAGCACACATAGACCGCAGCACTTCTCTAGACCCTCCAGGTTCTTCTCGGCGTCCCGCATGTCCTGATTGATCTGGTCCATGCCCTCCTCGATGCGGTCCAGTTGCTCTGAAACACGAAAACAAAAAAGAAACACACTTTACTGAAACTGTGTACACCATCTAAATACAGTCCCCCTTGTTCTGAAGGCCTGGTGAAAAACAATAACAAAACATAAGCAAAACAATTTTTTGGGGTAAGTGTTTTATGGCGCTCGCAACTGCATAAGGTCATATGACGAGCGCGCGGGACACATTTAACATTTTTAGTTGGTAGGAAATTTTGAATTTCGCACGGCGGCGGCAGAAGCCTACTTTCATAGATTTTAGACCACCAATGGATCTTTAACGTGCGCAACTTGCACACGGGCCCTCGCCCTTGTCCCAGAAGGCTAGATGTAGATTTTTCCAACCAGAAGATCAGGGGTGTGGCTAAAAGACAGCAGTAAGAAGGAGCTAAGGAGTAGCAGTACAAAGGCTGCAGAAAGAGTCAGGAACCGAGAGCTGGGGGCAGGAGAGGTGAACGGGTGGGGGCAGAGAGAGGAGACGAAAGCAGACGACAGAACATTGCTAGAGAGCTGAAAAGGAGGTGAAAGGAGACAATTTTAGAGAAGAAAATTTTTCGGTCGCTACCCGGATTCGAACCCCGGAGCTTTGGATGAGAGGCCAACACCTTAACCTCTAGGCCACGAGAGCCCCCAACAAAACAATGCAAAATAATTTTAAACAAAAAACAAAACAAAACAAAAACCAACCAACCAACCAAAAAAACACCAAACAAAACATCTGATGAGCAGCAAAACAATTGGTTTTTAGTTTTTGTAAGTTTTACGCGCTTGCAACACATTTTGCGTGCGACATGTTATTCCGCCCCTCTCACCTCACCTACTCTGAACACGGCATCGAGTGTACCTTTTTTGTTCTTTTATTTTTATTTTTAAATCGTTAGTGGTGTGCGCACGCGCGCGCGTGTGTGTGAGAGAGAGAAAAAAGAAAGAAAGAAAGAAAGAGAGATGAGGACGGAGGGACGGAGGGAGAGAGAAGGGAGGGAGGGAGGGAGGAAGGGAGGAAGGAAGGAAGGAAGGAAGGAAGGAAGGAAGGAAGGAAGGAAGGAAGGAAGGAAGGAAGGAAGGAAAAGTGAGCGTAAGTTTGGGGCGAGTACGTTCGAGTGTGCGAGTCCTCACGTGCTCGTACGTACGTGTGTGAGAGAACGTGCGCAAGTGCCACAAAAGAAGCCGATAAGCTCAAACATTGCGACAAAATACAATCATACAGGAGTGCAAACATAACAGCAAACTGTGTTTCAACGAGCACCCCGAACACAACTGGCAAAGACCAATATGAACGGGTCTATTTATTGCCCCACACCGCGAGATAAGACACAATGGGTACAGACGCAAGATAAACAGACGCACAATAATTATCCCACACCACATCGATTAATAATTATTTGCACACAAGAAAAAACAAAGGCATAGCATGCAGAAACAAAAGCATAGCATGCGTGCACAAATAACACTGTGGATTGTTTAAAAAGTGGTACAATATGTCGTACTAAAGGAAAGTTTGCCGGCTCTGTACACAGTTAGCTAGACACATCGGCAGAGAGATTGGGAACACAGGGGCTGTCTCACTGGCAACGTTTGGTGACCATAATTATCAGCTCCACATGCTAGTTTGAGTTTTAACATGAGTTTTACGGCACTTGCAATACGATTAGAACGTTTTTTAGTTTAGTTTTAGTAGAGGTTTTATGGCACTCGCAACTGCATAAGGTCATGTGAGCGCAAGAAGATTAGAGGCGTTACAAGAAAGTAACCA